GCTGGCTAAGAGGGCGCCGAGGGCCCCAGCGGTTCCTACCTGGTCATGGGAGTATGGAATGCCCAGGAATCGATGGAAGCCCTGATGCGGTGGCAGAAAGGTCCCCTCAGGGCCCACCCCAAGATGCCACTTGCCAGCCATTCCGGTGAGGTAGCCTCGAGCAGCCAGGACCTCAGCCAGAGTCACTTCCTCCAGGGGCAGGCCCCCTCGGGAGCTGGGCCCCAGAACTCCAGGGTACAGGCCTGTCCGGACTGGGAGTCGGCCAGTCAGGAGGGCGGCCCTACAGGGCACGTCACAGAGACAGAGACAGAGAAGCCATGACTAAGAAGGGCATGGCGGGGGAACTGCAGACATGCAGACCCTCTCCCGCCCCCACCGCAGTCCAGGGGGCACTTGGGAGAAACTGGACAGTCCTTTGGTCCAGGCACTCCAGCCCCCACTCACCGGGAGGGCGTGCACAGGGACGATGGCACATAGAAGTCTGTGAACCGCAGCCCTCCTGCGGCCAGCTGGTCGAGGTTGGGGGTGGCCGAACTGGGGTGGCCATAGCAGCCCAGGTCCCCATAGCCCAGGTCATCAGCAAAGATGAGCAAGATGTTAGGGGGCCTGGCAGCGTCCAGACCTGCAGCCAAGACCAGAGCGAGGGCCCACAGCATCGCCATGGCACACGGTGCAGACAGGCTGTCACAAGAGACCCTTGGGAGGGAAGGCAAACTGGCTCCAGCAAGCTCTGGCCCAGAGACCTCTGACCCCAGGCCACCCTCCCCTGAGACCCCGGGCCCAAATAATCCCCTGAACCAGACAAGCCTCTTCCTGAAGTCCCAGTGGACTGGGTAACCGGGGAACCCAGCTCCGCCACAAACAGCCCAGGAGGCAGTAACCTGGGACACGTCTCCCTGGAGACCCTCCTGGACCAGGACACCTACAGATTCTGGGCAGAAATCTGACCCTCTTCACCCAGGGGTCCCGGCCCAGGCTCGTGATTGGGACACAAGTCACATGACACTTACCCGAGGGGGGGGTCCGGCGCGGTGACTCGAGGGCAGTACCGGCCGAGGGGCGGGTCGGGCAGCGGGC